TTTAAAAAACCACTGGGAATTATCCTTTTTTTGAGATAGGTAAAGATTTTCTGACAGATGTCTCAAAAACGTAAACATTCATAACCTATATTAATTTGGTGTTTTTCTGGTTGCCTACTTAAAATAAACACAGTTTTATTTTAGGATTTTTATTGAAATTTAAAGTAACAAATAAATATTCATATTAAATACTGTCTTCTTCTCTTTCCCATGCCAGAATTGTGTTCATATCTGTGATATTTTTGGTACTCCAAGGTTCAAGTGGATCAGGGGAACTACAGGGTTCTTCCTGTTCAATTTTTACATTGCTGGCTGACTTGTACGGTCTTGTTTCTACAGTTGCCGGTTCAACCCTGTAATAAAAAGGAATAATTATTGATTCTTTTATGCTTTTCAGACAAGGTGATAAGATTTTACCTGTTATTTTTTGCAGTTTTTGATCGTTTTTTCTTCTTTTCTTTTTTACGGTTAATATTAGCGGATTCTGGGATTTCTCCTTCTCCGGAACCTTCAATTTTCAATGTAGTTTCTGATATAGTTCCTAATCTGTAAATTATTATATGTTAAAAAATATACAAGGAATCTCTCAAGCCTTCAAAAAGTCAGGGACGATTTCGATAGCGCCTGTGAATTAAAATGGCAGACACAACTGTCACTGTCAGACAACTGACAGACTATATTTGGGCTATACTTTTTATTCCTTTATTATCTCTGGACTATACTAAATAATTTTTTACCCTATGCAATATACATATCTTACATTATTTGTTCATCTTCTCTCATAGCAGCATCAATATTAATAGGTCTGACATTTGACGACGAATCGTTCTTCAATTGTTCCTTGACAGCTTTCATTCGTTCAGCAGCGTATTCCAGATTGCTGGCTTCCAGATTTGAAGCGTTATCTGCTGTGCCAGACCATAACTGTTCCACCTTGATAAGGGTGCACTTTCTGAACATGATCCAACCGAATAAGATTTCCCGGTTCTCTCCAGACCCTAAGTCTTCTCGAATCCGGATGAATTCCAAAGCGTGACTCATCCGTGAAGAGAACATTGGCCCATTGTTCATTCGACCACTGAACATGATCTTGAGCCCACAAATATCGTACCTCTCGATTTCCTCTCGTTAAGGGTTGAGCTCTCCAGGAGCGTAGATTAAGCAATAGATTAAGATAGATATACTGACCTATCTTAATCTATTGCGAACAGTGTCAGGACTAACGGTTACATTATGTGTTTCCTGGAGAATTAAACTAAGCTCTGGTGCTGTAAGAGTCGGTCGGCGTCGAGCATTTAATTGTAAAAAATGATCTTGCTGAGGAGTAGTAATGCGATGTTGCCCTGTGTGCCTTTCAGCAACATCACCACTTTTACGGTAGCGTGCACTTAGTCGCGATATTACACTTTGCGTTGTATTTAATGCTCTAACTACGACGATTTGGCGCATTCCAGCTTCGAGCATACCCATGGCCCTGAGCATTTCGTCTCTGTTAAGATGTCTACGCTCCATAATGTCGTTTAATATTAAACAGAGTTATTTGAATGAATTCTGGTCAGTTATCATAAAAACATAGCCAGTACAGGTTAAATTCGAATAATTGATGCTAGGTGCTTTTTATACATTTGACAAAAAATGCACAAACACTTCTGTAAACATCCCAAATTTAGAAATAACTAGTGTGACTACTTCGTTTCAATCGAAGTAGAAAGAATCGGCCTACAAATATGTGGTTGTTTATTCAAAACATTTATTTTAACTTTAATAAAATGATATCCCTAGATTTTTCCGGTGTGTGTATAAAAAGTTTCCAACTTATTTAAAAAATATTTTGTAAATGACTCTATATTATTTATGTAATTATTATGTAATTATTCAATGTATTATTTATGTAATTATTCATTGACTATCCGAACACAATTTTTTTTTATATATTAAGAAAAAAAATGGGAAGATACTTATATTGTTACCTATTGCTCTTTGGTTAACATTTGCACCAGCTTCCACTAGATCTTGGACTAGTTCGTTGTTATTGTAAGCGATGGCCAGATGCAATGCTCCAGCACCTTAAAAATATAACATGACCAATTGATGCTAATATACAGAGTGTCCCATATAAAAATGCACACTATAGGGATATCCTAAACCATAATCTCTAATTTAGTATCTCTAAATTAATTATAACTTTTCTCTTATTTAATCACCTTCGTACTTCTTCTGATTTATGAGATCCCTGTAGTGTGCATTCTATAGTACACCTCGTATACAGGGTGATTGAAAGCTATACATTTTTTGTCCCTTATTTTAAATGCCAAAAACAAAATTTATAACGTACAAAAAATACAAACAATGAGTATATTCTGTAAAAAAAAAATTAAAACTTTAAAACAGGAAATAACATGATACGGATCATTTATCATACACGTGTGTGACTCTGTATGTAAATACCTAAATATTCTTCCCCTTCTACAACATCCAACGCAAGTTTTGGAAAACATTTTATCAAAGTTCTAGCGAGTTTTGTGTGAATTTTAGTATCGCAAATAATCAAAACATGAAGTAGAGTCTCCCCTAAAGATCCTCTGTATTGCATCTGCCAGCATGCCTCGTGATCTGACCATTTTCCCAAAGGATCGTACCGACTCAATGATGCTTCAATCGGTAAAATGACCTAAAAATAATTTATAGTAAACCTTAATCCCAAGCAGGTCGTACGGTAAGTCGTTGCGTGTGGACCACGCTTTAGATTATGACAAAATAGTCGTAAAAATAGTTTTGATCATTATTTCATTTTCTTTATAATTTATTTTGTTCTAACAAATTGCATTACTTCCTGATGGAAAAAAATTTGCAAACCTGATCCAAGTCCCTAAATTTCCATCTTAAATATTCCGATCTGTTGATAATCTGTCCTTTACCCTCCTGGTACATGAGCTGACCAAACTGCTCTCTGATCAGCTTCTCACATTCTGATTGGCCACCGGTGTTATAAGCATCAATCAATTCACCACCTTATTTGAGAAAAAAACTCACTATATAATTTTGGTCAAACTCATAAATATATAATCTGTGATAGAGATTTATATGAACAAAGCAACTAGTTTCGAGGTCCTGTAATTACTTCATCATCACGCTAATAAGTATTATATGAAATATATGTCTTATTGTTTAATTGAAATTTTAAACTCATCCGAAGAAATAATGGCATATTTGGCCATTATTGTCAATTAATTTTTACAGAAAATTTGTATGTTTTATAATAGGTCCTGTATTTGAATGTATGAACGAAGACAATACTGAGCAAACACACATTAAAAGTGTGTCATAGCTGTTAAAAAAGTCGGTGAATCTGAGGACTGTATAGTTGTGTTTTATTTTTAAAAAATCTCTATCAGAAATATAATCAAATATTATTATAAAATACCTTTTTTATAATTGGCTAAACGATATAGCAAACATTGATCTTGATTGGAACTTTGACTGATTACTCTATCCAAAATTGATCCACCAGAATAATGCTTTCTTTTGCGCTTGCAAGGCTTACA